CTGAACTATACGCAGTTGATCTCCATATCAATCATTAATGCAATACTACAGAAGTATTAGATTTATCTTAATCGAGCTAGCTGTATCCTCAATTTTGCCCGACAACACAGTGATTTCTATGCATCATTATATTCAGCAGATTCTCTGCTTTCAGAAAAGTATATATGTTGCTTATGAAAAATACTTAGTTTCAGACATATAGCTAAATTTCCAGAGGTCTGTCTTCGAGGTTATTGTTAGCTGTTCTATCATATCGTTAAACTCTGTATATTTGTTCTTGGTGTCGATTATCTCACTACGATGAATACATTCTTATTGGACGTTCACTGACGTGTAATTACAAATTTGTCTTAATTTTTACATCGTTATGAAGAAGTTTTCTGGAAATTGAAGATTTGTGAAACCTATCAAAATGGCATATGAAACCGTAAAGGTACGTATGAATCGGAGCAATGCATCGATTCCGTGGGGATTTTCATTGCGCAGCACAACGTCTGGAGTGTTGACCGTTGCTTCGGTAAGTAATACAGGTCATATATGTCATCATGATGAAGGAATCTAGTTGTTACGGTTCCACTGAACAAAAACCACAACATTTAGATTGTTCTCAGGCAATACTTAGATATTAAGATGACTTTCGCAACATGATATTCAGATCATAGCAATGAAATGAAATCTAGAAATTATCAGTTAGATATTCATCTCACTTCAAAACGTGATGCTTCAAGATAGAAGATATCTGATCATAAGATCCACAGGTTATCTTAAGATGCAGTAAAACGCAAGAATGCCACTATTCAGGTTGATAAAGAAAGCCTTGCTCATAAGGCTGGCATCGAAGCGAATGACACTGTCACAGAACTGGCAGGTCGTAATGTAAATGGAATGCCTCTGCATGAGGCTAACAATATAATCGGACGACCATCCGACGAAATGAATATAATCTTGAAAAGGTATTCGTTTATACTATCCTTCCTTTTGATTTATTTGTAAATTGGAATCACATTTTGTTGAGATACAATAATTGATGAATAAAGAACCCGAAAGAAATTATCTCACGAATGTTTTTTAATCCAAAAAGTGAAGTAATGGCCTGACCAAAGTCCCACCTCAGAGGTTTGGTGAATGCTTTTAGCATTTGTGATTTGTTTCAAACTTTACCAAGGAATCTCACTGAGCAACAGAAGATGAGTTGTTCGAGGATGGACACAGAACAGAACGTTTCAACAAACTTTCAGATATATCACTTCACATCCCACATTACCGTGGAATCTCACTGAGCAAGACAATAAAATTGTTGTTGATCAAGTACACCCTTCAAAGCAACAAACGTTCACCAGCAGCAGCAGCAACACTTCGGGCTATAAATCAATCCAGGTTATCATTATAGTGAACTGATAATCGCACTATCACACTTCTCTCGATATATCACTTAATTGATAGCCTATCACTGTACTTTAGAATGTACTATGATACTTCAACCCACGTGTTCACTCTGTGCTGCAACGACAATAATGAATAGAGTGCTCTAATGCTTGCTGACGTTTAACTTTTCAGGATCGAAAATCCGAGCGAAGCGTACCCATAGGCTATCAACCAGCTCCATTCACAAATGTCACAAATACAGATGCATTAAGCACCAATCGACAGTCAAAAGAAGGCTTCTATGATTCATATTCAACGGAAAGTTACACCAAGTTAGTTCATATTCACTATTGTTTCGGAATAAAAAGATTCACTGCAGATTATATTGATTCATTGCTAGCTTTTCATTGTAGGTGCATAAGTCTATTGTAGATGTATCGCATTTTGATTTGCGTGACTTGATAAAGAATACACTAAAGCACTCACCTTCTCTTCATGAACTCTTTTGGTACTAATCGAACTCCGATTGATACTGTCGCGACTAGCGCGGACAGCTAGCATACAATGATAGATAGTACTCTAAAGATGATAGTACTTAAATCAAATAAGAAAGATCGAGCAATGGGCCGATAGTATACCGGGTGAACGCTGGGCTTTGAGGATCCGATCTGTTCAGAAGGCGTGAGTTCGATTCAGAACGCGTCGGTCCAAAATCTTTGACAAAAGTTTGATCTCATTAAAGAGAGATAAACACAAGAATATCTCAATTTAAGAGATATTCAAAAAAAGGCTTAGTTTCGACAGATACTGACAAATCATATTCTATTAATTCCAACCAATTTCTCTTCAGGAAAGTAGCTCAAGAAGAATCGCGTAGTAGCAGTGGCGCTGGTCGATTCGGAGCTCAAGGACAGCAGCCACAAGGAATGTCTGGAACAACTCATAATGTACCAATAGCTCTCGATTACACGACAACACAGTCGTCAAATTACAATATTGGGGGTCACACGACCGGTGGGACTGTTATTCATACGAAACCCCTCCAACATACATACACAACTCCCGAGCATCCAGCCTCTGCTCCAGCACCTGCACCATTTTCGAGCGGTGGCCCTGCTGCCGCTCCTAGGAGCAGCCATATGATCCCGGTTCACATCAATACCGGCGGCTATACGAGCCCACCAGTAGCTGCCGGTGGCCAAAAGTCACCTTTCTCTCCGTATCGTCACCAAACTGGTAGTCAGCAACAGGACTATCGCGCTCGCAGTGAAGCCTCCTACTATGAAGAAGGTTCAGTGCTTCTCGGTTTTAATCTAGTTCTCTAGTAGAGCAATCGTTCTAAACAAAATTCACTAGCTGAACGAGATATTCTTCAGTTAACAGGTTGGAAGTCTCATGGTCAGTTTCGCGACTAGCGCGAAAAGCTAGCATGAAATGATGATAGTACTCAAAGATAGTACTTAAGTCAAATAGAAATGACTGAGCAATGGGTCGATACTATACTGGTGTAATGTTGGGTTTTGAGGATCCGATCTGTTCAGAAGGCGTGAGTTCGATTCCGCGTCGGTCCAAAATCTTTGACAAAAGTTTGATCTCATCAAAGAGATGAACAAAAGAGTATTTCATTCGAAGAGTTATTCAAAAAGGGCTTAGTTTCGACAGTCAGAGCTTCTCTTCCAACCATATATGTTGATTTCAGGTCCTCGCGTTCCTTTCTACCATTCTCCACGCACTCGCCGTGAGCTATCGCCGAGCGCCTCTATTCCACACTTGTACGCTCATTCACGTGAAACTCCTGCCGAACAATACCTCCGTCAAACTGGCGGTCTTTTCGGCACCGAGTAAGTCACTTTCTCTCTACTCCCATCCAGTAGTCCCTTATTAAATTGAAACCTCCTCGACAAAGCAGCTCACTTTTAGACGCATATATTTTGCTTCCAAAAATTTGATCGGTTCAGTTGATCAGATTGATTGATCAGATTGATCAAATTATTACTTGAGTTCAATGCTTCTGTCCAAAGCCAAAATGCTCAATAGTTTTTGGATTCGAATTCAGCGAAATTCCGTCTGTATCCTTTCAAGATCAATATAATGAGTCTCAATTCTTCAGTTAGTAAAATGATTGCGATTCCAGTATCACACTGATATAAGTTTTATGTTTTTTGTTTGCTAATAATCCACAAAGCTTCATGTTATCCATATCATAACACAACTGCATTACATGTTCAATTGAAAGACATCGGCTTATTCACGTCAATCGCTTTAAAATCTTATATCATTTGCTTGAAATATTCAGTTCACTTAATTCGCCATATCAGTTCACTTCGTTTGTTTTGTTGTTTGTTGAAGAAACGCTATGTCATCCGAACTGATAATATTCTGTTGAAAACAAGCGGATGCTTGCTTGTTTTCTGTAATAACTGTACTCAGAAGCATTCCAAAGGCACATATAAAGTCTACACGACCATATTTTTGACCGTTGAAACTAATTCGCTATCGCTATTGAAACGCTATTTAAACTCGCTGCCAAACACTGCAAATTATCATGACAAATCCCTTGTTCGCAAGTAGAATCGTTAGAGCCTCGAATCTACTCTTCCAATAAATTGTCTCCTCAGAATCGCTCCAAATATTACTCGGATCAGTTCCTCCAAATGAAATCGACTTCATATAGCTGCTAAAATTTTGCTAAATATTTGACAAGGGGAGGTAGAGAATAAATCGAAAGCAGAAGTTACTCCACTCACCTAGTTTCATCCATTCTCATCTCATTGGTTCAGTAATTTGATTTTTTTCCTCTTTTTTTTTCAACATTCCTCACATTCCCAGCACCAGTTTGGTCAATAAACTCACATTATAATAAGCTTTACACCGAATATAGCTGCACACATTATTATGCGTTTAAATATCAATCATATCCTTTCATAGCGAGAACAAAAATTAAAAAAACATCATAGCACTGTCGCCCAACTTATTTGAAGCCTAATAACATATTAGCAAGTTCATAAGGCAGAAGGCCAGTGATGTACTCATAGCAAACATTTGATGTGTTCGAATACTATACTTGTAACCGTTCTGAAGAATATGAGTACGGTAGATTTGAATTCAGTGCTTGTCAATGCTACACGGCAAATATATATGTAGTTATCTACCTTAATGTTGGGAAAAGTATGCGTTCACTTACAGACGAAAAGTAGCGGAAGTTAGCGGAAGTACAAAAGTCGTTGAAGTGCTAAATTTCACGAAAAAGTAGCTCGCTAAAGCGCTAATCAAAGAGAGCAGCGGAAGCTGTCGCTACAGATCACCCTATTTGGAAAAGTAGCGCGCTATCGGAAAGTAGTCGTTCCGCTAGTAGCGGACTAGCGTTTAGCGCGTTATTGCCCTTGCCTGATTGTAAATGTATTTCTGTAATATTGCATGCAAACTGAGTGCGTTGATTGCAGTCCAAATTTGTTCAAGACAAAGGTGACACCATATTTAACATCTGAGACACGTCGAATGATCGAAGAGGAAGAACGATACAGTGACGGTGCTCCTCATGCCTACCACCATAGTGCTTCTCCACCTGCGCAGAGTGCGAGCTTTAAAAGAATCTCTCGAGCGTGTGGCACTCCAGTTGATTGATCGATCAACACAATTATGCTCAACTTTCTACTTTTTCAGTTTTCAATATTTCATGTCAATCAAACATTTCATTTTGTTTGAATTCATGCTTACAATTAGCTCTTCTGAAACTTCTTCGTGATAAGTTAAAGCCTTGGTGTCACTCATTAAGTTAATTAGTAAATAGTGAGTCCCATCGCAAGATATAATACTTGTTTAGCAGTTCATTACCTGTAACCTCTTTCAAACTGCAAAGCAGTTGATTTGTATAGTTTTATAGTGGGTTCAATCCTCTTTTGACCATATCTCTTTCGAAGATTTCAGATTCGAATTCTGTCTCATATCCTTCCATAACTGTGTATAATTTAGTGAAAGTTTATGTTGTATCAGTTGACTTCGGTGTTAATGATACCGGTTGCCGTCCAAAAAGCTTGATATTTTGCATGCCATCATGGTGTCTATTATACAGAAGGTTGTATTGTCTCTTAAAGTTTTGCAGTCATTTAAAGGCACTAATAAAAGTAACCGAAATCTTGCTTTGTTCAATCATTCACTCAGTTTTTCTGTACCATTTACAAGTTCCGAACAAAACTATTATATTGGACATCTTTTCAAAAACAAATAAATCTCGCTCAGATAACAAATTTCCACTCAATCCCGGAAATTGCTTGCATTTAGACATGAAAGAGCTACGAATTCACCTTCTCGTCACATTACCAACCTACAGCAATCATCACCCATCATTAAACCTGCATCGGATAAACCTGATCACCCGCTAGATCAACAGGTCAAGGGCCCGCCGGCTCCTCCTGCAATCCCGTTACCTAATACTCAAGCAATCCCAGCTCCTCCTCCACCCCCTCCCGCTGTGCTGCCCTCAAATACCACCTCGAACAGATTCACGCCAATCAAGCCGTCATCGATTCCGAGCACAATGGGTCCACAAGGAGGTAATGCTGCCGCAGGTGGGCAAGAGCACCCGGTGGCACGTCCACACGAAAGTGAGTTACGAATTTGTCTTTGTCACAGAGTTTTTATCACATATGATCGGACTTAGATTACATATAGCTCATGAGTTCTTATCATGGTGAGGTTGATTTTATGAAGTAATCCCCTCATTATGAATCAAATACAGTACCACGTCCAAGCAAGTAGTACCATATTCTGTTCTCAAGTGTGCCTACCAAAACAATGATTTCCATGCAGTTTCAGATTCAGCAGATTCTCTGCTTTCAGAAAAGTATATATATTGTAGACTTTAAATATCTCGTTGCTTAGATATTGTTGAATTTCTGAAGGTGTTTCACGTAGCTGAGCGATTTTTTCATAGGGCCCACTCTATACATTTGATCTGCATATTGATCAGTATCGCACGATTATGAGGATATCGGTTGCATCATATTCAAGCAATTTATATCCTTAAGTTTGTCCAGTAACACATTGATTTCTGTGCACCTTCAGATTCAGCAGATTCTCGGCTTTTAGAAAAGTATATATGTTGTCGACGTGAAGCACTTCATTGTATAGATATTGCCGAATTCCTGACAATATTTCAAGTAGCTGAGCGATTTTCTTATATGGCACACTCTATAAATTTGATCTGCAGATTGATCAGTAATAGCTGACACTCTGAATACATGACATATTTCAACCGCTAACTAGTTGCTCTTAGTGATGTCTGTATTCTAGTTACACTGTTCCATTCCTGTTCTATTCCTGTTCTGTTCCACAGAATAGAACAGAACAGTTCGCAAATGAGNTAATTTTGTGGAATGAGAGACATCCAAACTGCAGAATCGTTTCAGTTCACGTTCAATCACAGCAATCTCCTTCGGTCGTTAAATCGTCTGACGGCTTAACACCCCAAGCGACTATTCGCCACCTTCAGTATAATTCTCCAATGAATATCTACTCAATGGAATCTGCGGCAGAGCAGTATCTCAACCAGACTGGCGGACTTTTCGGCACTGAAACGGAGTCAGTTCATAGCAACTTTCAAACGTGATGAGTTTCATCCTCAGTTCCATTCGAAATCCCAGACTTGATAAGCCGTATAGCCTGAAATAATCGCAAGATTTTCTCATTTTCAGGCAGAATTTTCACTATTTTGAATATTCGCTTAATTGTGATCACAATTTAACCTTTCAAGTCAATTCTATCTTTTAAAAATTCCAAAATTAGTGTGTCTTATACAACTGGTCCTTCATGAACATAAACCACTGATAATTTATCAATCAGTGATTTGATCGCTAAACTGGTTATTTTTCAGTCCTGAAAAGC